CCGCTCCAGGGAAAGCAGTGGCCCTGTGGAGCCACCTGGAGGCTCTCGAGGATGCGACTGGGGGGCCGGCTGCAGAGGAAGAAGTGCAGGTCATCCCATGCAGCACTGAGCAAGAGGCTGCAGGTGAACGGAGTGGCTGGAGTCTATCACTGACCACCAGTCAAGGAGATGACTGGGTAAAGCCTTTGGAAAGCAAATTGCCAATGTTTCAGGGAGGCATGCTGTTGATGGGCTTGCAGGACTTCAACTCCCCCAGTAGCTACTGGGAGACAAATTCTGCCAAGCATGACCCCTCCAAGAATTTCCTTGCACTTGTTGCTGATGAATTCCTCCAACAGAAACAGCTGTCCTTGGCTTGATTCTAACCAACCTGGGGGAAAAAATGGACAAGTTATTTGCCACTGGGGGAAGGTGACCATGGCGTAGTTGAATTCTTGATTCTGAAGGAAGCAGGAGCCAAGTGAAGACAAAAATTTTTCTGGATTTTACAAGAGCCAATTTTAATCAACTCAGAACAGTGATAAGTAAGTCTGATGAGAAAAGTAGTCAAAAATGTGGGGCGGGGGGTGAAAGAGGACATTCTAAAGTCACAATTACGCACAATTCTAATTAGGTGAGAAGGTACATAGTAGACAACAGAAGAAGCCAATGTTGCTTCACATAAATGGTTAGAGATGATCTGAAAACAGACAGACAGACAGACAGACAGACAGACAGACAGATGAAGAAAGACAAGCCTTCAGATGAAGAGTACAGGCAAATAATGAAGAATTGCAGGAAGGTCAGGCTCCCTGCTAAAACCAGCAAAGACGCCTTCTTCAGCTACGTCCATAGTGAGAGACGGAGGAAAGAAAGGGTGGCTCAGCTACTCGGTGTGGGTGGCAAAATGGAAACAGCTGAGAAAGGAGAAACAGCAGTGCTCAGTTCTCACTTTGGCTCAGTCTTCCCCCGGAAAAAGATCTACAGCCTCCCTGATGAAGGGGAAGCGCAACCTGAAGGAGCAGAATGACAGCTTGGGATTCGTAAACAGATGATCAAGGAATGCCTAATCGGTTTGAATGAGTTCAGATCGCCAGGACCCAAAATACTCCATCCTAGAGTGATAAAAGAACTGGCAGAAGAACTCTCAGCACGAACGCCTTTTATTTGTGAGAAATTGTGCTGGCTTGGGAAAGTACCAGATGACTGGAGAAGGACTAATGTTGTCCCTACCTTCAAGAAGGGAAAAGGGAAGAACCTGGGAAGAACAGAAACAATCATTCTGACAACAATCAACCCTGAGAAAATTCTGAAGCCGTCACTCTGTGTCGTGCCTGACGGCTCGACAGAGACAGCACCTCACGAGAAAGAGTCAAACGTTCAAAATGAGCATCAGAGCAGGGTGACTTATGCTTGGAGCCCAGTAAGCCAACGAGTGGGTGCACTGAACAACGGTGAGGTGTATCCACGGCTGCCTGCAGAATCAGACTCAGTGAGTGCTCATCAGGGGCACCTTCTCAAACGGGGGAGAGGACACGTGGGGTGCCATGGGGTGCAGCAGGGTTCCGTCCTGGGCCCAGCATTCTTCAACATCTCCATGAATGGCTTGGGTGAGGAAGTGCAAGGAGCATGAATGAAATGTGAAGGTGATGCCAAATTCCGTGGAATGCTAAATATCCCGGAAGACAGAAACAACATATCAGTGAAACATGTGACTTTTCTGCAGTTGACTGACTGGCGCAGGAGTACAAAGATTACACTGCAGTATTTTTAATCCAGTTAGCTTCTAGAGCACGTGTAGGTGTAAAAGCAGGCTGCTCCTTGGGAGTGATGAATTTCTCAGCTTTGTTGCTGAGAATTCCCTGTATTCAGAATACACATGGAAACATAGAAACAGAGCCAGAAGGGGCCTCCCGGGCCTTCTTGTCAGACCCCCGGCTCCAGCTCACGACACGCCTGCCGTGCTGCTCCCACTTATTTTGCATATGTCTGACTTTTGTGACTGACTCACCAAAAACATCTATAGCCTCTTGCTACAATCCTGGGACTGAAAATAAGGTCCTATGAGGGAGCGAATGAAAGAATTACAAACATAGAAACAGAGAGAGTGAGTCAGAAGGGGTCTCCTGCATCATCTAGTCTGATCCCCAGCTCCAGCTGGCTTCGCTTATGACATGCCTACCATGTGCATGTCCAGCCTGTCCTTGAACACTCTCATGGATGGGGCTTCAACCCACTCCTGTGGACGCCCATTTCCATACCCTTGGGGTCCTAACCATCCGGAAGTACCTCCTGGCATCCAAATGAAACCTGGGTTCCCTGAGCTTTTCTCCATTGGAGAACATCCTGCCCTCCTCTGCAGGGGAGGACAGGTCTCTGCCCACCTCTGTGTGGCACCCCCTCATGTACCTATATGATGCCAACAGATCCCCTCGGAGTCTCCTCTTCTCCAGGCTGAAGAGACCCAGCTCCCTCAGTTTCTCCTCATATGGCTTTCCCTGCAATCTGGTCACCATCCTTGTGGCCCTTTGCTGCACTGATTCCAACTTGGCTGGATCCCAGAACTGAGCACAATACTCCACCTGCAGGCGCACTAGAGTCGTATAGAGTGGTAGTGATACCTCTCTTGAACTAGAAGCCACACTTCTGGCTATGCAACCAAGGGTGGCGTTTGCCCTCTTGACCACCGCATCACACTCCTGACATGTTTAGCCTGCAGTCAACCGGCACCCCGAGGTCCCTTTCACAAGTGCTGCTCTCCAGCCACTTGTCACCTAACCTGTACGTATGACACCCATTCCTATGCCCCAGGTGCAAGACCTTGCACTTATCCACATTGAACGCCATCCTGTTGTCTCCGGCCCACTTCCATAGTCTGTCCAGATCCTTATGGATCTGGAGTACTTGCTCCTCAGTTGTGGCCATTTTAGTAATTAGGCAAAATTGGCCTTGAGAGGAGAAGATGGAGGGAGATATTAGAGCAATTTTCAAGTACGTGAATGGTTGTCAAGTTACAGGAGGTCAGATTCCAGCTGAACAGTAGGAAAAACTGCCTGAATCTCATCACAAGGCAACAGTGGAGAAAATTAGCTTGGGGGACATGGGTTTCCCCACACGATAGGTGTTGACTAGGGGTGCTGCATTGGCCAGGGGACCTCATAGCCCCTCCATCTCTACCATTCTAAGATTCCCTGATTTTATGCTCCTGTTCTTCTTTCTGGTATGCATTAGAGATGCTTCTTCTTTCTGTGAGTCTCTTCCTCTAGATAGTACAATGATGAGCAAGGGTTTTGAGAAGTTCACAAGAAGCTCCACATTTTGTTTTTTTCATGCTGTGCCACTGTATCGTTTGTTTTCCCAGGTGTACCAAGCCTTTCCAACCCTCATGAAACACGTGCCAGGACCCCATC